ATTGACCCATCTCGCTTTGAAGTTCGTAAGATCTAAATGAAAATCTTTATTAGTTGTTGGTTTGCTTTAGTGTTTTCTCTGTGATAATTGGATTGATTATGTCTTCAGGCTGATCAACATATGCAAGAAAGTTTAATTGCTGGAGGAGGTATAGTGTTTGAACGAGTCTTTCAAGCTGTTCCTTTCCAAGGCATTGGCGATAAGATTAAACTGCCACCATCTTGCTTTACGGAGTTGTCTGATCAAGGAGCTTTCGATAAAGGTCCATTGTACTTTGAGCTCTCTGTAGCTGACCACACTGATAACAAAAAGACCACACACTCTGGTGTTCTTGAGTTCACCGCTGAAGATGGCACTGTTGGTCTTCCTCCACACGTTTGGAGCAACTTGTTCTCAACACACGAGCCAACGGATGTTCCTTTGGTGCAGATCCGTTATATCAGGCTTCCTAAAGGCAGCTACGCCAAGCTTCAACCGGATAACCTTGGTTTCTCCGATTTGCCCAACCACAAAGCCATCCTCGAGACAATTCTCCGTCAACATGCTACGCTTTCTCTGGACGATGTTCTCTCTGTGAGTTATGGGCGGGTCTCTTACAAGCTACAGGTTCTTGAGTTAAAACCGGCCTCGAGCATTTCGGTTCTTGAGACTGACATTGAGGTTGATATAGTTAGTCCGGATATAGTTTCGGATCAACCGAATCAGCATGTGTTGAGGCCGCTTCAGTTTGGGAAACATGAATCTGGAACAGTTGAGGAAGGACGATATGATCACTATAAGTTTGCGATTGATGAGTCTACTGTAGAGAAAGTAGTGGCAGGAAACGTCAAAGTTATTGTAAAGATAGATGTGGAGAAGGATGGAGCGGATACTGATCTCTATGTATCAAAGCATCCAGTGCTATTCCCATCTCTTAATCAACACGAGTGGTCTTCACACGATGTGGGTTCAAAGACCTTGATCTTGGGATCAAAGGAGAGAGCTCTGAGCTCAGGGACTTACAGTATAGGTGTCTACGGTTTCAAGGGAACAGTCAAGTACCAGGTTTCAGTAATAATTCAAGAAAGCAGCGATGGAGTTAAGGCTGGCGAACGTGCTGTATCATCTTCTTCAGATGTCGATACAGTAGAGTGTAGGAACTGTAAACATTCGATTCCAAGCAGGAGTATCGCGTTGCACGAGGTGTACTGTAGCAGACACAACGTTGTTTGTAAACATCCCGGATGTGGAATCGTTCTCAGAGTCGAGGAAGCGAAAAACCATTTGCACTGTGAAAAATGTGGGCAAGCTTTGCAGCCAACAGAGATGGAGAAACATTTGAAAGTCTTCCATGAACCACGCACCTGTGGCTGTGGGATAGTCCTTGAGAAAGAACAGATGGTGCGTCATATGAAACGGTTCATTGTTCTCGTTACCTCGTCGTGTGTTGATTTCGAATTGGTTTTTTAACGTGAGATTGTGACTTTTTTGTTGCAGGTTCAACATCAAGCAAGAGATTGTCCGCTTCGGTTAATCGCGTGTAGGTTCTGTGGAGATATGGTTGAAGCGGGTAACTCTGCAGCTGATGCTAGAGACAGGATGAGAGGGATGTCTGAACATGAGAGTGCTTGTGGTTCAAGAACAGCACCTTGTGACTCTTGTGGTCGATCTGTGATGCTCAAGGAGATGGATATTCACCAGATTGCTGTCCATGGCAAGAGTAGCTAATAATATGGGGGAAACAACAAAAACTGCTTGTAATGTTGAAATTGTTTGTTGTTTGAACAGAGAAGCAAAATCCATTTGTAAGCAGAGATTGTATTATTTATGACATTTATGATTCTTGAAAGTCAAAATCCGAAATAAAAAAAAAGTATCTTTCACTTATGGATGAGTAGAGCCCTCAGCCCAGAGACCTCAAATGTCCAATTTTATAGTTACTAAATATGTCGAAAGTTTATACAACGACCCAAATAAAAATAAAAAGAGACAATGATGCTTAGTATGTAAGTATTATCACAGTGAGTCAATGATTGAAAGGGATCGTTTTACTAAATTAAATGAAAATTCTATTGAGAGACCAACTTGCTTGGTGAGAGTTTGTCGAATAATATCTTTCTCAGTCCACTTTTTCTGTGGTTGAAAATAGAGAGGATTGAGAGGAAGAGCTTTTGTATTTTGCAAGTTAACCAAAAAAGAAGTTTTAAACAAAATTTTAATATAATACTTTTTTGCTTTCAATTTGCAGATTAGCTTTTGACCACGCACGCATTCTTACATGATGGATATTTTTTACTGGTTTCCCATTGACAGTACAATACGAATAAACATAAGTAATATGTTAATTTCTTGGTTTTAGTCAAGTGGATCCAGATATTTCTTCCTAAAAGTAGTAAACCCATATATTAATGATTATATCCCCCTAATGGCTTGAAACATATTTAATTAGAGTAAATGGTAGTAGGCACTAGTACACATTAAAATAGTAAAAAAAATTATTTTTATCGACAACATGTATGCTTACCAAAATTGAGTATGAGTGGCAACATTAATATAATCCTGTACAATAATACAAAGTAGGAGAATAATACAAACTAGGACTAAAAAACATATCTAAATAGAGTTAATTAATGTTTTCGTCTAATCCACTACATATTATTTGATAAGCAATATTATTAAAAATAACTTACTTGTCAACACTACATCCAAAGTTAGTGTTTTTAATTGATGACATGTAAATGTGACATGTCAAATTTCCTAAAATAAACGAAATGTTTTGATTGTTTGAATTAAAATTATAGAAATTATGGAAATAAAACATAAATAAACTAGATTATTTTTATAACACTAAAATTAACAAATTTAAATTAACAAAAAATAAAAGTTATTATAGTTTCAATTGGTTACATATATTCATAATTTCATAAAATATAATTACGAAAATGTTTTAACTATATATATATATATTATAATTTCATATAAAATGAAAAAATAATACTAAATTATCCAATAGAATAATAAAAATTCTATTTATTAATAATACTTGAAGTATGATATATTTTTATTTTGGAAAGTTATTAATTTACAAAATATATTAATAACATCTAAACAAGTTTTAAATAAACAAATTATCAAATAATACAATTTTAAATAAAATACAATCATGATAAAAAAATAATTTAAAGAATAAAATGTTAAAAATAATAAAAAATAAACTTTTATTGATTTTTTTTTAAAAACCGTAATTTTTCTTTTCAAACCAATATTTACTAATTGAATAAAGTATACACTAATTATTATTTTATAATATTAATAGGACCATATATTTTTCTATAACTTTTATCATCTTTTCATTGTTGTTTTCTAAAATGTACATAACTTATGTTACTATCTCATCTTATCCCTTATCATATTTTAAATAAAAATAAATTTTATATCATATATATAAATTTATATTCATTGTATATCAAAATTTTGAGAACATAATAAAATAAAAAATAACTGAACGAAAGAATAAATTATAATAAGATGAAACAATATGAATAAGAAATAAAAATAGAAGTATATAAAAATAAATCTGTTGCACTTTGTTTTAAAAAGTCACTTAAAAACTTTTTAACACCTAAGAACCATATTTCAATTTTTTTACAAATACACGTACAGACATAAATATTAATTGTATATTAGTTGAAGTCACATGCGAACTTTTCTGTACATGTATTTTGTTAAGATTGATTACAGACTATTTTTCTTTTAATTATTATACAATTTATATTTTTTAAAAAATATTTATCTATTCTAAGTGTAGTGAAGTGGTTGGTATGTCCGCACATGCGTGCCAACCATCTATCAGTTCTTAAAAATAAGTAAAAATGGTAAAAATTATTTCAGTTTAATTTGCAATAAATCAAGATAAATATACACTTAAAATATATTATATATATTTGTAAATTCATATTATGTAAGACGCAAAAAGTATATTGTAGATTGTGTAAGGAGAAATAAAGCATATAATAGAAATATTTAAAAATTATTATAAAAAATTAATTATTATTTACCATAACTTTTAAATTTGTGATTATATATGATTACAAACATTATAAAAATAATTTTTTTAAAATATATTGGTTTCAGAAAGAAGTTTGTGAAATATTAAAACAATATATATACAAACATACCAATGTTTAAAAAAATTAATCAATATTTAAATATTACAATTAACTATGTATATAAAAAAATTTATACCCATACATATGTGCGGACAACCACCTAGTACACATTAATTTGCCCTCCCCTCCCCAAAAAAATAGAGTTAATTAATGTTTTGGTCTAGTAGGAGAACAAAACGAACAACGTTCTCTTTATAACTGCATCTATAGTTAAAGGACAAGAGAAGAAACATAATGTGACAATAATTTGAAGATTACTATTCTTGACGGTAAGTTAATACACTAATTGCACCATTCTTGTTTTTCTTTGACATCCGTTTAACTGTACCATTGAAAGTCTTATCTTACAGAATAGGACGTAGCAAATACGTGTAATATATATATATATATATATATCTTAGCATGATAATTCTGATATATATATCGATATCTTAGCATGATAATTCTGAATTCTAGAAAGTATTCTGGCAAAATCCATCGCACTACAATACGAGAATGCAGTTTGGAAATCCAAATTTTTATATTGGCAAAATAGATAATTGGACCCCGACCTTTTTATATAGTTTACAATATAGAATTATCCACCGAAATAAAACTATTAAAAAAATACGAAAATATCAATAGAGTGGTTGTGCTCTTTTGATGAACGCTTGTTCACACTAGCTAAAAAAACTAACCGTCTTTTTTATGGCGGGTCCATAAAAATCGTATTATCCACGTATTTTTAACATTAGATTTAAAATCAAGAAAGCCCATAAATGATCATAGCCACTAGTTTTATGCACTGTACAAAACCCAAAAAATTCCAATTTAAATGTATTTTCATAACAAAGTGGAAAAGAAACGTTAGGAGACAATTCCAAAACACACACTCCGATTTCATTGCTGCCTACTATTATTTTCTTGTCATTTTCTTTTGTCACGGTTTTGATTTACTCTTGAGTCTCTCTCATACCAAAGAGCATCTTCATTTTTTCCTCTCTTTTTCTGCAATAAATACAGAAGGCTCACGTTTTGCCAAGTGCGCTATACTCTTTTGCCGTCACCGATTTAAACAATAAATACGCAGTAATCTTTAGTCGAATGAATCTTCGGACATATTTCCTCAAAACCCGGCAAGAAAAAAATCTGAACTTTCTCAGTAAATCTCCAAGATATACAATCTTCTTCTTCTGCTGTTGTGTCTTCACCGTTTTGGGCTTCTAATCTTACTTACAAGAGCAAGAAAGCTTTGTCTTTTAGCTTTTTTAGAAGGTAATGGAAGAGAATCTGAACTATTATTTTTTCTTTTCTTTTTAACTAAAGCTGGTTTCATCACTTTACTTTTAAGCAAATCTGGTTTCTTCAGTGTTCTTTGTGACTGTGACCGATGGTTCTCATGTCTATTTGGATACTCTTTGGGTAAAACAAAAACAGAGAAAGTTTAGTTTTTTTTTGTTACATCAAACTTTCAAAATCTAAAAATTCCCCAGTTTTGTCTTGAATCTTTGTTTCTTTCTTATCTTTTTTTTTTTCCAGGAAGATAAAGACAGTATCTTTCACACTCGTATGGCTACAATAAACGATATTGGAGTAGCAGCAGCAATCAATATAGTCACAGCAGTTGCTTTCTTAATAGCTTTTGCAATACTCAGGATTCAACCAGTAAACGACAGAGTCTATTTCCCTAAATGGTATCTCAAGGGCTTAAGAACCAGCTCTATACAAACCGGTGGCTTTGGAAGCAAATTCATCAATTTGGACTTCAGGTCCTACGTTCGATTCCTCAACTGGATGCCTGAAGCACTTAAAATGCCTGAGCCCGAGCTCGTAGATCACGCAGGACTAGATTCTGTTGTCTACTTGAGGATCTACTTACTCGGGTATATAAGCATATACATCTCCAACTCTAAAGCTCTCTTCTGTTCTTCTGGTTTAAGAGTTCTGACGTCATGGTTTTTTGATGGAATCTTGCAGACTCAAGATCTTCTTCCCCATAGCTTGTGTTGCTTTTACAGCAATGGTGCCTGTTAATTGGACAAACAAGGGGTTGGATCGGTTAAAGCACTCTAATATAAGTTACAGTGATATTGACAAACTATCTTTATCAAATATACCAAATGGATCAGTCAGGTGAGAGATACTTCTCCAAGTTTGGTGTGGTTTTTTCAGTTTTCTTTGTTCCAATAGTGTAACGTTATTTATGATAACTCATTGGTGTCCATGTTCCAGTAGATTCTGGGTGCATCTGTGTATGGCTTATGCCATCACTTTCTGGACATGCTTCATGCTCAAAAGAGAGTACCAGAATATAGCTTTAATGAGGCTACAGTTTCTTGCAAATGACCAAATGAGACCTAACCAGTACACTGTAATGAGACCTTTGAATCTTTTGATCCTCTTTGAGTTTTACTTTCTTACAAGATCAACTCCCCTGATGCTGAAACCTGTTGGGTTTTCTTGAATGTTAGGTGCTGGTAAGAAACATTCCTACAGATCCTCATGAATCAATCTGTGAACTTGTTGAACATTTCTTCAAGGTCAACCATCCAGATCACTACCTCACTTTCCAGGTAAAATCATCTTTGGACTTTTCTGATATATTCATCTCTGACTTGGTTTCTGGGTTGACGATTCATGATCTGCTTTAACTCAGGCAGTCCACGACGCAACCAAACTCTCGGAATTGGTTCGGACCAGGAAACAAATGCAGAACCTGCTCGATTATACTAACAACAAACACATGAGAGCGCAATCTAAAAGGCCAGTAGTTAAGGTAAACTCACATTTTCAAGAGCTTAAGTTTCTCCCTTGTTGTTTCTCTTTGAGACTCATCTCAATGTCTGGAAGTAGATGGGATTTCTTGGCTGTTGCGGTGAAGAAGTTGATGGAATCAAGTACTATACGTCCATGGTCGAGAGTCTAACGAGAGAAGTAAAGCGCTCATCTCAACTACTCTTTGCTATTGCTTCTACTCTCATTTGAAATATTCATTCAAACTTACTTCCAATGTTTCAGATATCTGAGGAGAAACAGAGATTAAGGACAGGGACAAAGTCGATAGTGCCTGCAGCTTTTGTGTCTTTCAAGAGCCGTTGGGGAGCAGCGGTTTGTGCTCAAACTCAACAGTCAAGAGACCCAACAGAGTGGCTAACCGAGTGGGCTGCAGAGCCACGTGACATCTACTATGACAATCTTGCATTGCCATATGTCGACCTTAAGATAAGGAGGATCATAGTCGCCGTTGCATACTTCTTCCTCACCTTCTTCTTCATGATCCCAATAGCATTTGTACAGTCGCTCGCCAACATCGAAGGCATAGAGAAGGCTTTTCCTTTCTTGAAGGCCCTTATAGAAGTGTATGTCTCTGTCTATCTCTATGATTTATCAATCTGTTCTGTCCCGTTGATAGAATCTCTTACGTTTTTTGGTTTTTGTGGACAGGAAATTACTAAAGTCGATCATCCAAGGCTTCCTTCCTGGGATCGCTTTGAAGATTTTCCTCCTTTTCCTCCCAAGAATATTGATGCAAATGTCCAAATTCGAAGGCTTTGTCAGCAATTCCTCATTAGAAAGAAGAGCCGCAAGTAGATTCTACATGTTCCAGTTCATCAATGTTTTCCTCGGAAGCATTATCACCGGGACTGCGTTTGAACAACTCAACAGCTTCCTTAACCAATCTGCAAATGAGTATGTTCTTTTACAACTCCCCTCTGTCTATGTTTCACCAAGAAAATCTCATATCTTTCTGACTTGCTTTCTCTGCAGTATTCCAAAGACAATAGGCGTCTCGATTCCAATGAAAGCAACCTTCTTTATAACATATATAATGGTGGATGGATGGGCAGGTGTAGCTGGGGAGATACTGAGGTTGAAGCCTCTCATAATCTACCATCTCAAGAACTCCTTCCTTGTGAGAACCGAGCAAGATAGGGAAGAAGCAACAGATCCTGGAACCATAGGTTTCAACACTGGCGAGCCTCAGATACAACTCTACTTCCTTCTTGGTCTCGTTTACGCAGCAGTTAGCCCCATCCTTCTTCCCTTTATCATCATCTTCTTCGGTCTGGCTTACATAGTGTACCGTCATCAGGTGAGAGAACTGAATCCTCTCTGCTTCCTTATTGTCGCCAGAGTTCGAGCACCGTTTAAGTAACAATGAAGGAATCGTTTTGCAGGTTATAAATGTGTACAACCAAAAGTATGAGAGCGCAGGGAAGTTCTGGCCTGACGTTCACAGGCGTGTGGTGACTGCATTGATCGTTTCGCAGCTGCTCTTGATGGGTCTTCTAAGCACAAAACAAGCTCCCAAGTCCACTCCTTTGCTTCTTGTACTTCCTGTGCTGACCATCGGGTTCCACATGCACTGCAAAGGCCGGTACCAACCTGCTTTTGTCACATACCCTCTACAGGTTAGTGAAAACAAAAGTAATAACTGAGGAGTCTCTAGTAGCTTTGAGTGAAACGTGTAAGCTTACCTTTTAGATGTTTCGAGCGAAAGCAGTAACATCTTATCGAACTCTTTTACCTTTTGTCTTACCAGGAAGCCATGATCAAAGATACACTGGAACGCACACGTGAGCCAAACCTAAACCTAAAGGCTTTCTTTCGAAATGCCTACGCCCATCCGGAGTTCAGGGTTGGAGAAAATCTAGATGAAGAGATGGCCGTGGAGAGGCCTGATAGGACACCGGATCTAGTGGCTACTAAGCGTGGCTCTTGGAGGAACACTCCTTTACCTAGTAAACATAGCTGGCCTGATTCAGTCTGATGATAACTTGCCCTGTTCAACCTTTAACAGTGATTCTTTTATGTTCTATGTACATAGGAACAGTTGTATTCAATTCAAGAAAAAAGAAAAGAAAAAATACCCTTGAAATAGCATACGAGACAGGTTAAAATTGTATCATATAATTAGGAAAAAAGCAAAAAGAAGAAAGAAAAGAAAATCGGAATCTTTACATGATTGCTATGAACCTTCAGGTCAGTGCCATCTATGGTTACATTGATTTCACTCGAAAATGGTCTTCCCGTAAGTGTCTAGAAGTGGCTGAAGGGCTTCACGACCATCAGCACGAGCAAGGACTCGACGGAGTCTGCGTTTAACCCTATCGTCCGGTGTGAATTTCCTATCGAGCATGCTCTCAAGAAGCGGGACCGCATCTTCAACCTTGCTCCGTTGAAGGAAACCGGATATAATAGTGTTGAACATAACAGAATCAGGTGAACGATCCTTTGACGCTAATAACTCATAGAACAATGCTCTGGCTTTTGATAGCATCTCGTGTTTGCAGAGGGCTTTGATTATTATGTTGTACGTTACGACATCTGCCACCAATCCCATGTTTTGCATCTCATCAAAGAGTCTCTTTGCGTCGTCAAGTTTCGCGTTTTTTATCAGACCGTTGATGAGAGCATTGAACTGATATATGTCGGGAGATTGACCAGACTTTTGTATCCCATTGAAGATTTCTTTGGCGACATCTGAATTCCCAGCTTGGCAAGAAGCGTGTATCAGTGAAGTGTATGTATAACTGTTTGGTTTCAGCCCTTCACATTTCATGCGTCTTATAATCTCAGTGGCTTCTTTTAGTTTCCCAAACTTGCTATAGCCACGGATCATTATATTGTACGTAACCGTATCAGGCACCAAACCCTTGTCCGAGATCCCATCGAAAAGTCTCTTTGCATCATCTGATCTCTCACTTTTCATCAGACCATCGATGAGAGCATTGAACTGGAATATGTTTGAAGCATGACCAGTTGCATCAAAGATTTCTTGTGCAATGTCCCAATCTCTGGCCTGGACTGCACCATGTATCAGTGTCGAGTACGTAGCACTTCTCAGTCTCATCCCTTCGCGTTCCATTCGCCTTATGAGCTCCATGGCTTCCTTCATTTTACCATTCTTGAAATACCCACTGACCAAACTGCTGTATGTTACATCATCTGGCAACAAGCCCTTGTCCAGGATTTCATCAAATAGCTCTCTTGCTTCATCTAACTTCTCTTTTCTAATCAGACCATCAACGAGAGCACTGTGACTATGCATGTCTGGAGAGAAATCAGACTTGCGTATTACATCGACGACTTCTTTGGCAACAACTTCCGTATCTCCAGCTTTGTTAACAACGTGGAGCAAAGCCGTGCATGTATAGCTATCTGGTTTCAACCCTTTGCAGTTCATTTCCTTTATAAGCTCTACGGCTTCCTCAGCTTTCCCATACTTGCAATACCCAATGATCATTATGTTGTAAGTAACGACACTAAGCTCGATATCGCCACGCCGCATCAACTCGAACAGCTTACTCGCGTCTGTAACCCTGCACCCTGTGAACAGACCATCCAACAGCGAGTTATATGTCTTCAAGTCCGGTTCCAGACCTCGGTTAATCATCGAGCCATACACATCAACCGCTTCATCCACCTTATGGACTTTGCAGAGACGATCAATCAAAGTGTTGTAAGTGCAAACATCCGGTGGTATCCCTTTACTCGTCATCTCCTTGATCATCTCCGCAACATCGTCCCACAATCCCGCCTTGCACAACCCGTAAACGAGAGAGTTGTAGACAAACAGATCAGGAGGGATCCCTTGAGCTACCATCTCATCCAAGTATCCACGCGCCTCCTTGAACCGCCCGGAGCTACTCAGTCCGTGAATGACCACTCCGAAAACTAGAACGTTAGGTGAGATCCCATCCGCCGTCATTTCACCGAACACGGTCATTGCTTCGTCGATGGATCCGTCTCTGACAAGGGAGCTGATTATAGAACCGTAAGTGAGCACATTGCTCTTGCAACCACTAGCGATCATACTTCTATGCAATTCAAGAGACATGCCTGTTTTGCCTATCGCACAGAGCTTACTGAGAAGAGTCCCATAGAGAGAAACATCACTCTTAATCCCTCTCTGAGACATTTTATCATACACCTTAAGTGCATCAATCACTTTCCCTTGAGAAGACAAACCCAACACCAAATAATCAGCTGTGACCAAGTCAGGCTCAAAGCCTCTCTTCATGATATCACTCAGAACGCAAAACCCACAGTCGATTCTCTCCAAACAGCGAAACGCGTTGATCAAAATGTTCGAAGTACACAGATCAGGATCAACGCCTCCGTGTTTCATCCTCTTATACATCGAGATCACTTCCATGGATGCCTTACGCTTCATGACCGAGCCGAACAAGTGATTAAAAGTGCTAATCAAAGGCACGGGTCTCGTCTCTATGAGTTTTTCGAAGTGAAACAGAGCATCTTCAACGTTTAATCTACCAGTCTTGCATTCTCGCCACACCTGAACTTCAAGCTCGCTATGAACCTGACCGGTGTTTCTATATACGTTTTTTTGCATCCTCGACTGAAAAAGCGAGGATAGTGACGAGAAAGAGCGACAACAAGTTTTGGCTCCGACGTTCATCGCCGATATCGGAAGATAAAAGTGGAAGAGCATTCTTTTCAACTGTCTGATTACTAATTTGAAGTGATTTCTTGTGAATCTATGCTATTTGGTTTGTGATTTTCGTTCCTTCCAATTTTAACGTAATCTGAGCCGCCGCCATTGTCGTAACCTCCGACTCCCGGCGAAGCTTGAAATGTACCAGTCTTACTTTAATATGAAATTAAAAAGAAGTTACTGTACTATTCTTTTAATTAAACCATCGTGCTTTAAAATGTTAAAAAAAAAGGAAAAAAATACTGAAATTCATAATATGATTTGCTTGCTCCGTACGTATGGGCTTAGCTCGTTAAGGAGGGGGAATGCAACGGCCTGAGGCCCAATGAGAAAAAGAGTCTATTTTTTTTAAAAAAAATATTGTTTAAAACAAATACAAAATAAATTTAGTTTTTTTTTGTTTCCATAACCAAAAATTACATATATTTTTAAAAAGGGCTTTTTTGATATATAACCATATTTACAAAACAATAGAAGAATATAACCATGTTATTTGACAAATTAGTAAACTAACTATGACCCACAATCAATTATCAAAAATAACTTTGTACTATATTATACTATATACTATACTATATATAATTTTATGAAATAATCTTCTATTTGATATAGTATATACAGAAAAAGAGAGCAAGAAAGAGAAAAAGACGAGAGAGGAGGGGAGAAGAGGAAAGAGGAGGCAATGAGAGGGGAAGGGGAGGAGGAGAGATGAGATGAGCGGAGGTGAACAGAAGAGAGGAAGGAAGAGTATAATATAGTATAGTAGTGTAATCTATTAAACGAAAGAGTTTTTGGTATATATTGTAGAATATATAAAGAATATAATAGCCCTTATATTACTATTGTTACTTTCTAAATTATAGGTATTTATATGGCTATATCACCCAATTTCCCTAAAAAAAAATCATACAAAAAGATGTTTTCTTTATAAAATTTTTTTGTTCTCTCTATTTCAATATATAAGTTATTTAAGATATTTACACAAATATTTAAAAAATGCTTTTTTGTTTAACATACAATAAACTATATGATATAATTGGTCATACAGTATTCAATAAAAATAAAAGTAACATTAACATGTGCAAACAACTTATATTATAAAAAACAAAATAAAATCTCCAAAACAACTTATATTATATAAAACAGAAAGAGTATTTAAAAAAGCGTCCAAATTTTCTTCCCCAAATTCCGAAAAATTGTGGACCGGTCCTAGCTAATTGGCCTAATGAATCAGTCTAACCTAAGCAAAGTAAGAACCCAATTTCAGATTGCATATTAGGAGCTAGACTGTTTAATGATTTAATATCTCTTTGTTGTGCTCAATAATGCAATTTGGTTCACACAACTATTCACAATAATGCATGATAATGATATGGTCCACTCAACCATTCTCTTTTTGGACCTTTTCTAAAACGATAGAAACTTTCGTGGACCATCTTTGAGTGAATACAAATGTGTCAGTGTTAGAGTCAAGTCAGTTTCCTGGAGTGTGGAGTGTGGACCATATGTTTTGTTTTCCTTGCGATGTTTTCTCTATACTACCCTCTAGAAGTCAGATTGTGATTTGTGAAAACGTTCTCAGTCCCTCTCTCTCACTCTCGCTCATATTCAAATAGTAAAATCATGTCTTTCACTCTTGAAAGCCAAACTCGTAGGTGAAATCTTAGGATGCAAATTGCATTTAATTTTATGGTAAATAGGCCGGATTTACTTTTATGATAATTTTTTGTGTGTATAGAATTATGGTTATCCGAATTTCTGAATTGAAACAAATAACGGATATAATATTTTTATATCCCCTAACTTTCTGAACATCATTCAAGCCTGTTGGCGATAGTTTTACTTTTACACACACACAAAAAAACGAAAAAAACCTCGTTAACAATTTGACATCTCTCGAGTTCTTTATTTTACGTAATGTTCTAACAAAAAAACTTTTTTGTTCCATACTAGTGTGACTATTTGTGTGTGATCATATCAAATCAAAAAACAATTATTGAAGTGTGGTCCTGAATTACGCAAGACACGGAGCGGGTAGTTAAGTCATGAGGGTAAGAGATAGACATGTGTTTCTCGACTTTTATTTCCGTTCACACAACAAAGTTTTAAGGAAAGATATTCATTTCGTTACAACTTCCAAACATGTGGTAGCTAGATCATACTCCAAGTCGAAACAGCTACACAGTACACACGCACTGATCTTTGTCGATAGAAACTTTTCTTTGTCAAATAATTATCTACATATGTGATTGTTAATATTCACTGATTACTATTTTTTTCCTTTCCTTTCATTTTTTTTTTATTATGAGAAAGTTATAGATCGACCGAAACCTATAATTAATTCCAAAGCCAAAACTGAATCATGTAATATTAGTTTTGGCTTAAACATTACTCGATAATGTAACTTATATGCTTTGTAATATTTTTTTTTTTGAGCTAACAACTTTTGGTCCTCTTTCAACTTTGATTTATAAATATTTGTCATTTTTATGTTTGCATTCGAAGAAAAAGAACAAAAAATCACATTTTCAAAATTCTAAAACATTTCACCTTTTTACGACAGATTCTTACAAATGTAATTGCGTGCAAACAAACGATTGAGGCATTAGCGTTTGCATTTTCAACTGTTTTTCCTTTAAATGATTTTATGGGTCTTTTAAATATATATATATATTTTTAATGTAAATGCAAACGCAAACAAATAATTCAGGCTTTTAATATTTAAGTTCTCTTTGTTCATTTATTTATTTCCCAATATATCATCTACCTAGATCAATAGAAGACATCTCCAAGATTATAAAAAAAAAAGTTCAAAGCTTAAAAATATGTTTTTGAGAACAATGGCGTCGGCTTCACCACCACCACCACCATCAACATCCTTAACATCACAACAACCTTCACCACCGCCGTCTCAGCTTCCGCTCCGTTCAATGCCGGGATCGTACGGTTGGCCGTTGGTGGGACCGTTATCGGACCGTTTAGATTACTTCTGGTTCCAAGGACCGGAGAAGTTTTTCAAGACAAGAGCCGAGAAGTACAAGAGCACTGTCTTCCGTACAAATATTCCTCCGGCGTTTCCTTTCTTCGGCGACGTTAATCCTAACATCGTCGCCGTCCTTGACGTCAAGTCTTTTAGCTATCTCTTCGACATGGATCTAGTTGATAAAAGAGATATTCTCATCGGCGATTTCCGCCCTAGCCTCGATTTCTACGGTGGTGTTCGTGTCGGAGTTTATCTCGACACCACCGAGCCTAAGCACGCCAAGGTACGTACATAGAGGTTGCTTTTATTTAATTTATCCAAACAACTTTTTTTTGTAAGTAGTCGAAGTCAACAAACCAAATTAATAAATCACAAAACTAGGAATAATTGGTTTTAATAGGTTTCAATCATTTTTATTTATCATTTATTTGGGTAAAGTTTTTTCATGAAATTGGATTAGATGTCTAGTGATTTTTACTATGAGTTGATCTAAATGGATTTTTTAGTATGGATTGATCTAAATGATAATGGCATTGGCAATTCAAGCGGATTAATGGATTTTGGCAGATTTAGAAGGATAATTTTTAGCGTTTTTTCTTTCTTTCTTTCTGAAATTAGTAGTTTGATGGAAAATATGAAGAAGAAAAAACTGGTGGGAATGAAAAATATAAACGATTTACGTATTAAGTGAAAAAAAAAAAAAAAAAAGAAGAGATGTTAAACAACTAGAATGTGTAATTGATATTGGACACAGACAATTTGTTTTAAGAAATATGTATTCAAACTATTTCGTTAATCCAGTTAAGATTGTGTTCAGTAGCTGACTCAATCAAGTGTGCCATTGTCATGAGTAGTGATCATTTTTGTTTTTTTAAAGTTTATTCATGTTTAAGTCAGATCAAAAGTTTCGCCATGGAAATACTAAAACGAAGCTCAGAAGTATGGCTACGAGAGCTCCTCTCAAACCTCGACAAGCTCTGGGAAACAGTAGAATCCGACATTTCTAAAAACGACGCCGCTTCGTATATCATCCCTCTCCAGCGATGCATCTTCAATTTCCTCTCCACCTCTCTCACCGGCGCAAACCCCTCCGTTTCGCCGGACATTGCCGAGAACGGCTGGAAGATGCTCGATAAATGGCTCGCGATTCAGGTCATCCCCACCACCAAAATCGGTATTTTTCAGCCGCTCGAAGAGATCTTCCTCCATTCGTGGGCTTACCCTTCCTTACTTGTCGCCGGAGATTACAAAAAGCTCTACAATTTCATCAACGAAAACGCCGGCGATGTTCTCCGTTTGGGCGAAGAGGAATACGGGTTGACCCGAGACGAGACGGTCCATAATCTCCTCTTCGTATTGGGTTTCAACGCTTTCGGGGGCTTTTCCGTCTTTTTACCATCCCTGATCTCGAGACTCGCCGGCGATAATTCCGGTCTCCAGGAGAGGCTGAGATCCGAAGTCAGGAAAGTATGCGGGTCCGGGTCGGGTTTGAATTTCCGGACGGTTAACGAATTGGAGCTGGTTAAATCAGTGGTTTACGAAACGCTCCGTTTAAACCCGCCCGTTCCTTTACAATTCGCACGTGCGAGGAACGATTTCAAGATAAGCTCGCACGACGCCGTTTATGAGGTCAAGAAAGGTGAGCTACTCTGTGGTTACCAGCCGCTGGTGATGAGAGACGCTAACATCTTCGACGATCCGGAGGAATTTAAACCGGACCGGTATGTTGGTCAGACCGGGGCCGAGTTGCTGAATTATCTCTTCTGGTCCAATGGTCCACAAACCGGTACGCCGAGCGCGTCGAACAAGCAGTGTGCAGCCAAGGACATGGTCACTCTCACGGCTTGTTTGATCGTTGCTCATTTGTTTCTCCGGTACGATAAAATTACCGGCGACATCTCGAGTATCAAGGCCGTAGAAAAAGCTAAATAAGTAAGATTCGTGAGTGGATTATGTAATAAATCTTCAACAGTTTCATATGTTTGATGATAAACTAAAATAATCCGAATTGAAACACAAATTGCCATGTCAGAGAGATTGGAGTACGAGACAACCTACATTTCTTATAAATTAAGTAAATGACTTTCATCCCTTTTTCAAAATAAAATAAAAACAATTTTGGTTGATTACCATTTAATCCAGAAATTAGTAGCAAGTGTTTCACTTTCACACTTGATTTCAAACAAGAACATGTTGTGTTTTGGGACCTCGATTAGGACCGAAAGTGGAAAAGTGTGTAATCAAATAATTTCTTGTTTTTTAATCAATAATTCACTCGAAAAAGACGCAAAAAGAAAGAATCCAATAAAACCCATAAAGAGAAGAAAAAATCAAGAAACCTCAGAGTAAGAGAAAAACACGATGAGATGTTTCAGATCAAACACTCCAAGAACCGAAACACCACCATCGTACGGACAACAACAACACGCCGTTTACTCATCTAACCAAACCGTGAGAGAAGAAGTGCTGTTGCAGATTCATGGATGCAGAGCCCATCTCATCGACGGATCCGAAGCGGTGGAGCTAGCCGCCGGAGACTTCGAGCTTGTACAGGTCTCAGACAACGGCGTAGCTTTGGCTATGGTCGTGCGGATCGGAAATGACCTACAATGGCCGGTGATTAAAGACGAGCCAGTGGTGAAACTCGACTCTCGCGACTATCTCTTCACACTTCCGGTCAAAGACGGAGATCCACTCAGCTACGGCGTAACGTTCTTCCCCATAGACCTAAACGACGTGGTTTTTGTGAACAGCATCGAACTGCTAGACGATTTCTTGAGAGAGAACTCTTGTTTCTCTTCGTCTTCGTCTTCGTCTTCTTCTACTTCTTCTGCTTCTTCTTCGCGTGTTACTAATGGAATCGATTGGAAAGAGTTTGCGCCTAAAGTCCAAGATTATAACAATGTTGTGGCTAAAGCTATCGCTGGAGGGACAGGACATATCATTAGAGGAATGTTCAAATGCAGCAATGCTTACACTAATCAGGTTTACTTCATAATCACTCTTATTTGATTCCCCCCCAAAATTAAAGCGGGTACAAGTTAATTACGGATTATTCGGATTCGGATATTTAAAATTATTATCCGAAGTGTATGTTTCGGGTTGTATAATTCGGGTATGTGGAATGGTATGGTTGTTAATTCGAGTATTTTAAAATCACTATCTTAATCTCAATAGCTAGATATTATACTCAAGGTTCGAATATTGGGTTGTGTTTTACGAGAGAACAGGTTCACAAAGGAGGTGAAACTATGATTACAAAGGCCGAGAAGAAGAGTGGTGCGTCGTCACAAAGAAATGCAACCACTAGCAAGAATCAAATCAACAAGAATCTTCAACGGTATTAATAATTATTTCCCATATATAAGAGAAATTCTTTTGTTATCTATTTACTCTTATGGAACCAATCTATATAGAGTGAGGAGACTGTCGAGAGCGACCGATAAATTGAGCAAGACGATGTTGAATGGTGTGGGAGTGGTGAGTGGTTCGGTGATGTCTCCCATTGTAAAGTCGAAACCAGGGAAAGCTTTTTTCTCAATGGTTCCAGGGGAAGTTCTCTTGGCTTCACTTGATGCTCTTAGTGAGTTAATTCAATATACAGTTATTGGCTCCACTCGACTATCTTTATAATTAATGATATACTAAAAAATAGTTTGATATTAGATAAATTACTAGACGCTGCTGAAGCTGCAGAGAGACAAACTCTTTCCGCTACGTCCAAAGCTACTACCAAAATTGTTAGTGAGAGGTAAGCTCAATTTTGGATCACATTATTGATTACATCTTTAGCCTAAAACAATATACAGTATAATGTCTTTGATCACTTGCAAAGTTGATACTTAAGTGAGGCTTATAATTACATGGACCAGGTTGGGTGAGAGCGCCGGAGAAGCCACGAGAGATGTGTTAGGCACGGTGGGCCACGCAGCCGGAACTGCTTGGAATGTGCTCCAAATCCGGAAAGCTTTCTATCCTTCGTCTTCACTCACTTCCGGTATCCTCAAAAACGCTTCAAGAAAGTGATTATTGTTAACATTAATGTTAACTACTCTCGTCGCCGAGTTACATTTGATGATATTTTATGTTATGCTTTTTGTGGACAAATATCATAAAGTTTTAAAAAGCAAAATGTGTGTAATCTTGAATCTCAAGCAAAGGAAACCTCTTTTCTTTACCTATTTTTCGTTATGTGTTTTAACAACATAAAGACTCAGAAGACAAATCTTCTTGAAACTATGATCAAACAACTTACCACCTACCAAAATAAAGTCCTGAAATATTCTTGATATCAATGACTAAAGCTCTAGTTAAATAGAAGAACAATGATTACTGAAACAGTTGCAGATCCACCAGCAAAAGGATTTAGTGCAGAGTCTCCGCTCCTTTTCACTGGTCGATGAACCATACCGCCTCCGCCGATCCCACGCCGTCCTTCTTCTTCCCCATGGCCGCCACGGCCACCTCCTTCACCACCAATCCCATGGCCGCTACGGCCACCTCCTTCACCACCAATCCCATGGCCTCCTCCGTGACCTCCACCACCACCGCCACCGTGACCCCCACCGTGACCACCACCACCGCCACCTCTTGCGACCACGGTGGTAGACTTGAAGAGAAGTAACGTGATAATAAGCAGGACGGCATAATTGGTAACAAAGTGTGCTTGAGTCTTCGTGATTGTCATGGTGATGATATCAAAGTGTACACTATCTTTGATTCTTAAATTGTTTACCTTAAAAAACAAAAAGAAAAGGAAATTGTTATCGTGGGGTGAGAGATGCCTTAGGAAAGCCTCTACATATGTATGCAAGATTCATAAAATTATTGTTTTTTTTTGTTGGTTGTTGTGATTAAAATATACAATATCCTAAACTCGTAGACAAAGGCGAATGTCACATGAAGCCAGACATGCAAAAATCGCATAAGAATCAGTTTCATGGAGATTTCAGTTTGACAAAACAATTGAAGGTGAGAGAAATCTCTGCCGTTGATTGTTAGATTAGGCATATACTGTATAGTATTGTTTCTAGGCAAATATATTTGCAGTTTGTTATGATTATCTTTAGATCTTGGAGGTCTTAAAACTAATGGACACAAAATTCCATTCATCGTATGTTGTTATTTGTTCACATTCCATTTAACCAAAAGTTTTGATGTTTAGATATGTAAGGAGAAGTATCTAGAAACTTTACGAAAAAAATCACCATATCTGTATAACTTTTTTCTTGTGACTACTTTTTTGTTTACTACACCATCATATATATATAACTTATTACTACATCAACATTTACTTTCGTCGGTTTATTCTAAACTTCCTGTAGGGGAATAGCATAACTGAGATTAGGTACAGTATTAAAATAGTATTAATAAATAATGGATTATCATAATATAAAAACTCTCAGGTTTGCCTCCTGGTTGGTTCCTTTAAAAAACCGAATTTCTCCTCTAATCTGTTTGTTCGTCAATATAAAAAACTAACACCGACGTAGATACGAATATGAATATACGACGCGTTATCATAACCAATCCGGACCGCTCGTATTGCCACGTGTACATCATCTTGCTGGAGGAGGAGGAGGAAAATGACTCGGCTCCTTCTACAACGACGGGAATATATAAATCTAAAAAAATCTGTATTTCGATCCTTTTTCCAAAATTCACCAGATCTACTTCGAAGACCGTTTACCGAATCTGCTTGAGCCATGGAGAAACCGTACGGATACGCGAGCGTGAGCATGACCGGCCTAGATCGCGCCGGCGGGAAGGATATTGATCTGGAGATGGGAGTCGGAGAGGCGACGCTTTACCCAGGGCTAAGCTACGGCGAGAATCAACTCCGATGGGGATTTATCCGCAAGGTCTATGGGATTCTCTCAGCCCAGCTCCTCCTCACCACGCTTATCTCCGCCGTCGTTGTTCTTAATCCTCCGGTCAACGATCTCTTGACCGGATCTCCCGGCCTTCTTCTCTTCCTCTGCATCGTCCCCTTCGTCTGTACGTAGTTTTTTTGTTCTGCTGTTATCCGATAGATCTCGCACGTTACATCAGATTTCTATTTTATTCTTCCTCGTTTGTCGTTGTATACTAGTTTTTGTGTGTTGATTAAAATTGCTACGGTTTGATATGCGAATTCGCGTAGTTTCAGATTGTTTGTGGTATTGAGATAGCATACATGACGTTCTTAGATGGATTCTGGTGTCATGCCTATGTTGGATTGTATGATCAAATTGTTCTGGGAAACGGCTGAATTTAGGAAACAAATGATATTTAGATGATTCGATGTTCACCTGTGAGGGATACATGGTGTTATCTAACAGTTGAAATCCTTTTTTCTCCTTATGAAAACGTCTTGAGTTAGCTTGTTCTCTATGAGTTTTGCTTTGTTTGCCTCTCCTTTGGTTTTGTTTTAATTGTTTCAGTAAGAGTAAACTTCAGGAGGGTTCTCTTGGTGGCATTATGTTGGATATGTGTTGTGATGTTCTGGAAAATTTCGTTTAGCATTAGCACAGTTTGTGTAGATTGTCTATTGTTCATGTGATTGATTACTGAGACGTAATTTTTGCAGTAATCTGGCCTCTGCACATTTACCACCAGAAGCATCCTATTAACCTGATCCTCCTTGCCCTCTTCACAATCTCATTGAGCTTCACCGTTGGTGTCAGTTGTGCTATGACAGAAGGTTGGTATCTCTTTCCCTTTGATATCATCTGTTTCCTATCAACAATCTGTGATTTTGCCTAGAACTTGAAATAGCAAAGTATTAAAAGTCATATCTAGTCTAGTAACAATCACTTTATTTCATCTTACGTGTATTACCAGGAAGGATTGTTCTTGAAGCCTTGATATTGACACTATCTGTGGTCGGATCTCTAACCGCATACACATTCTGGGCGTCAAAGAAAGGAAAAGACTTCAGCTTCCTTGGACCCATTCTCTTCACTAGCCTCATCATTCTTGTAGTGACCAGCTTCATCCAGGTCCGTTTCTTAGACAAAACACCCAAATCCTATCTCATACACACAATAAACTCTTGAATTTTGTTTTGTTTTATCATAAATATTGCAGATGTTCTTCCCGCTTGGCCCGACCTCTGTTGCCATATATGGAGGAATCAGCGCATTGGTATTCTGCGGATACATAGTCTACGATACAGACAACCTCATCAAGCGTTTCACGTATGACGAATACATCCTTGCGTCAGTGGCTCTCTACTTGGACATCCTTAACCTCTTCTTGACCATATTGCGTGTGTTGAGGCAAGGTGACAACTGAAGAAAGCATACGAGAGGATGATGCTTCAGTGATGGGATTTTTTATAAACTATAAACATAACCCAACAAATGCCTTCTTATGTGATTTACATTTTGTGTGTATATTTGACTTATGTTTGGAGATTTTAGTATATGATGCTATTTGGTTAAAACGTTTTGTAAAACAAAATCAATCTAAGGTCAATGATTTTCAACGTGAATTAAACTGGTGATTTTGGCGATTTTAGATGGCTTGTTGTATCCAAGTTTGATATTCTGATTATTGAACAGCATTGATGCCAAACTTAACAGTTCAAGTTTTATGTCTACTTCCTTCAAGATATTGATATTCTGAATTTATTACTTCTTGCCAAAAGTAACAAAATAAAATAAAAAGTAACTTGATGAGAACTACTTCCTAAACAAGAATAAGAACAAAATGTCATGTTTCTGTTGATGAAAACTATTTTTTCTTGACAGCATGGCCGAGACATGGTCTTGTTATGAACAATAAGAACCTCCTTACTCCGATGATGTGAGATCTGACGAGGGCTCATATAAGGGTCTTTCCCAAGCAGACAATCAACATGAACAGTGGTGGAGCAGTACTCATCGCACGAATATAATCCTCTTTTTGCTGAAAATACTACTTTGCTTTCACATATATCACACCATCCTTGATGATCAGTTCTCTCTTCCCTTTTCCGAAATATGAGTAAATGTTTGTCATGTTTATACCTTACCTTGTATGGTAAAGTAGCACATCTAAAACATATAATATAATTGCAACCAATGCAAACTACTTTTCGCCTAGCGTGACACTGGTCACCCTCTTCTTGGCAGATTTGACATATTGCTGATGCTTCTTCTTCCGGCGTTAAAGCTATGAATAAGGGATGCCTATGGCCTTCATACTGAAATGGTTCAGAAACCGAGCCACAGCGTAAGTCTAATTTGAAGCCATTTTGTTCTTCGGGATGCTCATAGACGAAGCCAGAACTTAAACGTTGACAAGCATCACAATTGAAGTAACCTTCGTCACCCCACCAACTCCTAATATTGTCAACCTTTAGGGAAAGTGAGTGAGCATACATCGCATGTTGTTTCTTGCAAGGCGCATTGGCACAGGCTTCGTGGAGGATGAAGTCGCCTTGATCCATACACAAATAGTAGCCACCCTCGTAGATTGGAAGGCTGCACCCTCGACATAACTTTCCTTCGTCGTAAGCTCCACTAATCTCGAGTTTCAGATGATGCTCATGAGAAAAATGAAGTATTATCCCGTCAATTATCCTCTCGAATGGCTCAACAACTATCTCAGGAGGTTCTTCAGGTATTCCCTATAGCTCTTTCCCATCCCACAAGTCTTTTTGCAGTGCGCATTTTGTATGAACAAAATAATCATCACAACTGTTACATGAGTAGGCACCATAATTGTTATCAACCTTTCGACGACACACTCCGCAAGACCATTTTCCGGATGGAAGAGAGGAGATAAAAGAGATACGGTGGTGGTGACGAGCTATTCTTATGACATATGGGTGATAGACACAATTTTTATGGATTACGAAGACACAGCGAGCACAAACATATGTGGGGCAATATTGTTTAATAAGACCACAAACATCGCAAGCTAATGAACTTTGTTTAGGGAAAAAAGTGAGAGGGTGAAGATGTTTTTTCGGGTGGTCTATAAGAATGGGTATTGGCTTCATCGCACAAAATGGATGCATAATTAATTTGTTGGCAGGGCAATAATAAAGATTTTCAAATATGACTATTTGACAAGAACAGCAAAGCCACTTGTCGATAGTGTTGTCGGAAGGAAGGCGAAGTCTGAGAGAGAGAAAAGGGTAAGAAGGGTGTTTGATCTCAAGTGGAGACTCTATGCATTTTTTGTGGAACTTTTTACTACATGTGATACATAAATAATAATCTGTGCCGAGCTTTGCGATATTGCATAGACCGCAACAGAATTCGGGAAAACCTGGCATACTGTCTTTATTGTTGCACCAAAAGAGTGGGAGGAGAGGGAGCTTACAAGTATGATGATAGATGTCAGATCCAATCAAAAACCGGATTTGTTGATCACCGCTTCTTTTGTTAAACAAGTAAGGATATGGGAAAGCCTCCACCGGGAGGATTATTTGACCTTAAATCAAGCCATACTTGACTCCTACGAAAAGAAGGACAGACGTAAAGAGGAGTGAAGTCGTTGGAGCTTGGGGTCTCGGTTTCTGATAAGAAGTTGAATATGTGAAATGGTTTTCCATTGATTTCTCCCTCCCGAAATCCACCGACTGGAGTAATTGGCTCATAAATATTGTGATATCTTTTCCACCTCTTCCTTTTCTCTTTCTCCACCGGAATCAGTGGTTGTTTCACCGGAAACTGAGGTTGGACTGTTTGTTTGAGATTTTCTTCCTCACCGAATCCACCGACAGAATTCATTGGCTGGAAATGTTTGTGTTGTAATATCTTCTCGTCTGTTTCTCCACCTTCCATATATAGCCAAAATCAGTAACTCTCTTGCGACTTGCAACCACACAGTACACACTTATCTCTCTTGCAACTTCCAACTCTCGAAGTCCCTTTTTCACTTTTTCTTTCTTGGGATGGGATGAAGATTTCTTTTACAATTGTGTAATTGGTAAAATATAAAGACAGAAAATGATGAAAGAAGTGTGATTGTGAACTGTGAAGAGGGCTTAAAACAAGTAAGAGATTCTCTATTCTCTTCTTCAAATCAGCCGGTTTTATCGGGAATTTCAGCTGCAAAAAATTTCATATACAAAACCAACCCGGTTTACAAAAACCGAGCCATATTAATCTTCTTTTGCTATTCAGAAGAGAATGGGTCCAAGGAAGCTGAAGTGTAATATAAACTATTAAAAAATTTAAAAACAATTTATAAATGAAAAAAAACTTCTTCAATAATTTTCAAGAATTTGGGAACGTAGTCCAATGTTTCTATTTTTTCAATAGATGCACGGCCCTGTGTTGAGGCAAGGTGACAACTGAAGAAAGCATATACATAACCCAACAAATGCCTCTTGTGTGATTTACATTTTGTGTATATATTTGACATATGTTTGGAGATTTTATTATTTTTATATATTAAAAGAGAAGCATTTTTAAAGAATAATTTTATTTTTGTAAGTATTTACAGTGGTGTCATTATGCTGATGTGTTAACTCCACATTTATTCTCAGCTAATTTTTTTTTAAAAAGATTTAGATTACTAGACTAATTACATGATATATCATTGGATATTTTAAGTCCACAAACATGTTATATTTTATTTTTTAAATAAATTCAAATACGATAATATTAGAATTAATAATTTAATAAAATAAAATTTGTTTAATGCTAATTATAATATACACGAAATTTATTATATGATATTTTAAAATATTATTTATATATATATTATTATAAATTCATAATAAAATATATAATTTGTTTCAATATTTACTATTTTTATTATTCATAGCAAAATATATAATACTTTTAATGCTTACTACTTTAAAAAAAAATATGTTTATTGATTATTCATAAAAAATGTTCTTATAAAAACAACTGAAAAACTAAAAATAATATTTTATTTTCCTCAAATTCATAATGAAATATATAACACTTTACTAATGTTTACTACTTTTATTAGAAAATATGTTTATTAATTGTTTATTAAAATATTCTTATAAATACAACAGAATAATTAAAAATATTATTTTATTTTTCTCAAAAATCAATCAGAACAAATAAAAAAAAAGTCATAATGATTTTATTCACATATTGTTGTAATTATAGAATGCATAGAAATAATTGTGAAAACATATATAATACTTCAAGCTATATATTTTTAAGTTTATATCTTTTAACAATTCATAATAATATATACAAAAATATATTATTAAAAATATATGTTATTTTCGACAGAAACATCAATTAAAAGAAAAAAAAGTCATAATGATGAATTTCCAAAATTATTATGATATATATTATTAATATCCGGATTTACTATATAAAAAATATGATATATTGCATTATGTTTTAATTTATATATGATCCTTAGATAACAAATCTGGTATATAGCATTATTGCTTACTTTTTTTTAGGTAAGATAATATCAATATCAATTATTTATTTTTTAATTAATGTTTTAATTTATCATATACAGTATCAAATTTTCAGCAAGATTTGTTCATATTTTTTTTTCTTAGTTTGTCGGCTTAAAATCAATCAATTTAATTACTGTAATTTTTTTTATAAATTGATAATATTGTGATTTCAATATTTTATTAATTTATAGAATTATAAATTTATAGTTTTTTAATTCAATAAATTATTTATTAATAATTATTTAAAAATATATTTGACATAAAAGCTAATGATATCTTTAAATATTTCACTTTTAAATTGTAGATAAACCATAAAATTAAAAAAAACCATTATATATTTATATTTTAGTAAATTATCATAATTATATATTTATATAAAACTATTTTATGGTAATTATTAATTTATGATGTTAGTGAAACTATATATTTATATGGATTTTTCTAAAAATATAATATCTTACCGATTTGTATAATATTTTGAACAAGTCTATTTTGGGACTAGAAAAATTTATTAATTTATTTACCTAATAATATTTAATAGATAAGTGACAAACTATTTAACTAATAATATTTAATTATGTAAGAGTCAAAAGTAATTAAATATGTACATAAATATTGTATACCCAAATTTTGGACAGTGGTGAAAATAATGAATCATATCATCAATTACGGGATATAGAAAATCTGTATGGTAACTTCGTATTTTTATCGAGCTATATCATGTCTTATGTTTGCTACTTAATTTTTAAATTAATTTAAATTAGTTTACATTACAATTAAATTATCTTATATTTCATAAAAAATTAAAAAATATATTGTCAATGTTATTGTATAATATTATATAAAATTTATATAAATTTAATTATATTATATTATATAATTTTAAAATTATATTAAATCTAAATAAATAATAATTATTTCACTACGCACAAGATGCGGGTTATTACCTAGTATGATACTATTTGGTTAAAACGTTTTGTAAAACAAAATCAAGCTAAGGTCAATGATTTTCAACTTGAATTAAACTGGTGATTTTGGCGATTTTAGATGGATTGTTGTATCCAAATTTGATATTCTGATTACTGAAGGACAGCATTGATGCCAAACTTAACAGTTCAAGTTTTATGTCTTCCTTTACAATTCTGATATCCTGAATTTATATTACTTCCTTGCCTAAAATAAAGTATTTTATGTTGACAAAAATAAAATAGAGTATTATTAAGTATTATAAAATTTCTATATATTTAGAAATTTCCCTTTTCGTTATAATGTTTTTATGTTTTTAAGTAAAACTACTACATCAAATAATGGTAGATATTAGACGTTTTTGGTGGTCTAATAACCCTGATAAAAAGAAAATATCATGGGTCTCCTGGAATAAACTAGTCGACTCTAAAATTCATGGAGGATTATAATTTCGAGATCTACGTGATTTCAATATTGCTTTACTCGCTAAACAAGGTTGATGCTTCACGAAGCATCTCACATCCTTACTAGCTAGAGTTTTCCAAGCTAAATATTACTCGAAATCCAATTATCTTCTAGCAGTTAATAAACGCAATTCTAATTATGCTTGGCGGAGTAGTATAGCTGCGCAAAAATTGTTAAAATCAGGGCTATTATGGAACTTGGGTACTGGAGAGGATATTAATGTTTGGTCTGATCCATGGTTGCCATTGCATCCACCAAGACCACCAATACCTGTACACACTGGTTATTATCCACAGATAAAAGTTTCGGATCTCTTCTTTTCAGGTACAATGATTTGGAATGAGGAAAAACTACCTGTTTGCACCTGCGGATGTGCAACATATACTACAACTCAGGCCCTCAATCACCCAAGTAAGAGATTCACTCTCTTGGATATATACCAGTCATGGTTGCTATACGGTTAAATCTGGCTATTCTATTTTGCGTACCAATATAACAGGCTAACCTTCATCTTCGATTAATCAGAATGTTAATTTGCTTTGTTGAAAACCCTGTGGAGACTGAATGTACCTCCAAAACTAAAATACTTTTGGTGGCGAGTTATTCATAACAGTTTGCCTATTGCTTATCAGCTTTGTAAACGAGGCATAACTGTAGATCCCCACTGTTTTCTTTGTGGCCAGGAAACTGAAAGGCTTAATTATATTCTCTTCCAATGCAACATCTCAAAAGAGGTATGGCAATTATCTGTCCGTATTCTTTCAGGGCGACTTCATATAATGAGTTCTGAGCTTCAGATTAACCTAGGAATCTTATTTCGTTTAATGTTCCTCAAGACAGAGCAAAGTACTTTAATTCCGTTTGTTGGATGGGAGCTATGGAAAGCTCGCAATCACCTAGTTTTCCAAGGTAAACGCAGAAGTATAGGGTCAATTATTCATAAAGCTGTTATGTATCATCAGATTTATAATCAAGTTGCAGTTGATGGCCGTCAATCCTCCATCCCGGCGATCATAGAGAGTAATGCTGACATCTCACTTTCTCAGCTCTGTGGGAATGCCTCTTCTTATTGCTGCTTAGTGGCTGCCTCGTGGATATCATCTACTCAACAGGCAGGTATTGCTTGGCGGTTATATACAAAAGCGGCTATCCCAATTTTACATGGTTCAGTTTTTCTTGGCACAGTTCCCACTCTTATTGAAGCTGAAGTTATCGCTCTTAAAATGGCTGTCAAAGAAGTCTCTAAGCTCAATTACAACGAAGTGGTTTTTTGTGGTGCTATTCATCCGTTGTATTATCCACTTAGTCAACGGCATGAGGCAGCGGCAGAACTGGTTCAACATCACTCAATTACTATGGATGTGTGTGATATTGTCAACTTGGCAAAGCGGAAAAAACATACTTTTCTTTTTATTTCTCAGGCTCTGTTACTTGATATCGCGGACAGCCACAAATGCTTGTAATACTAAACAACCATATGTAATATTTATGTTAATATAAGTTCTGGTTTGCCGAAAAAAAAAAGAGTAAAAGTTTAAGACAAAGCGAATCAAAAACAGTTACCGACCGACCGCATCTTCTTCTTACCCACCAAATGAAGATTGATTTCAAGTGAATTCTCTCTCTCTCTCTCTAGCTGTGGATCATGAGAGGTCACGATCGGATCAACAATTGCTTGCCGGAGGAACTCATCATCGAGATATTCCGGCGACTTGATACGAAGTCCAGCCGCGACGCATGCTCCCTCGTCTGCAAGCGATGGCTGTCCCTCGAGCGTTTCAGCCGGACCACCCTTCGTATCGGCGCGTCTTTCTCTCCCGACGTCTTCGTCACCCTCCTCTCTCGCCGCTTTCTTCATATTACCTCCATTCACGTCGACGAGCGTCTCTCCGGCTCCCTTCCTCCCCTCTCTCCTCCTCGCGTATGTTTCTCTGATCTGTTTTGAGCTCGAATTTTTCTCTTGCTTTGAAATCGATTCGATTTTGAATTCGATCCAATGTCAAAAATTTATGGATCTGGATTTGAACTGGGTTCGATTTTAGTTGAATCGGGCGTTATTTGATTATGGACTCTGTTTCAGATTCATCTCTGATTCAATTCATAATGCTTTCAAGTTTTTGTTGCTCTGCATTGATCCCAATTCTGAAATTTAGTTAATTTTGTAAGGATCTGGATTTGTGTTTAGCTTAAATTAAGGTTTTTTCGATTCTGGGTGGCATCTTGACACTGTTTATAGACTCATTTCTAGTTAATTCATACTGATTTCATGTTTTTTTCTGCTCTACATTGATCCCAATTGTGAAAATTAATCTCTTTTTTTTTTTTTGGGAGTACCTATGCAACTTATTCTCGAAACATATAGTGTAATAGCTATGTATAGATTTAATCGGTTTCAGAAGTGACAAAACCATTGGTCTATTTGTGGAAACTTCATCCCCCTGAGGCAATTGTTATCATGGAGATTGACTTTAAAGAAAACTCAACATGCAGAAAAAAAGGAGGCTTGGAATGAGGGCTGGAATGAGTGTATGGCCTTCATCGAGTAATCGTGGGAATTTAGCTGATAAGACACATTCCGAAGCCGAGTCTTGCAGCTTGACTGATGCGGGCTTGACTGCTCTCGCGAACGGGTTTCCAAAAACAGAAAACTTGAGCCTTATATGGTGCCCTAATGTTTCCAGTCTCGGTTTGCAATCCCTTGCTCAGAAGTGCACTTCTCTTAAATCTCTGGATTTGCAGGTAAATTTTCATTCTTTCTATGTTGACAAGACTCGGTCTTTGTGGTTGAAATTGTATTAAAGAAGCTTTTAAGTTTGATATACCACCTCATATGCTTAGGGTTGCTATGTTGGAGATCAAGGCTTAGCAGCTGTTGGAAAGTTCTGTAAGCAACTCGAGGAATTAAACCTGCGTTTCTGTGAAGGCTTAACCGATGCCGGAGTTATCGATCTTGTTGTCGGTTGTGCAAAGTCCTTGAAGTCCATCGGTGTTGCTGCCTCTGCGAAAATAACAGATTTATCTATGGAAGCAGTTGGTTCTCACTGTAAACTTCTGGAAATATTGTTTTTGGATTCTGAGTACATCCATGATAAAGGAGTTGTGGCGGTAGCTCAGGGATGCAACCGTTTGAGAGATCTTAAGCTTCAGTGTGTTAACGTGACGGATGAGGCGTTTTCCGCAGTGGGAGGCTTGTGTTCTTCGTTGGAGAGATTGGCTTTGTATAGCTTCCAGCAATTAACAGACAAGTTTAGTGATCTTGTTCCTTCTAAGTAACTTTGGCTTTTTGATTGCTCTTCATAGTCTCTTTGTTTATCTTTTGTGATGGCCTTGTGTATGGATGATATTCTTACTTGGTTTTATTTTGTGTTTTAGGGGCATGCGGGCCATCGGTAAAGGGTGTAAGAAGCTGAAAAATCTCACCCTAAGTGATTGCTACTTTGTGAGTTGCAAAGGTTTAGAAGCGCTTGCTCATGGTTGCAAGGAACTTACGCGTGTAGAGATTAATGGTTGCCACAACATTGGTACTCTTGGAATAGAGGCCATTGGAAGATCTTGCCCGTAACATTTTCTTTCTTCTTCTTCTTGACAGCATCTGAAATCACTGTGAGCCGGATCATTGACTAAAATGTTATTTTCCGGGGTTTTTTCAGGCGTCTCACTGAGTTAGCTTTATTGTATTGCCAAAGGATTGGTAATTCTGCTCTTCAAGCAATTGGAAAGGGATGTAAATCTTTAGAAACACTTCACTTAGTAGACTGCTCAGGCATTGGAGACAAATCTATGTGCAGTATTGCTAAAGGCTGCCGCAACCTCAAGAAACTCCATATCCGCAGATGCTATGAGGTCATAATCTCGAATCTATTCCCCATTTGAAATAAAGTATTCTCCTAATCTATAGACATCTTATTTAAGGTTTTTGTTTTTTGTAGATTGGAAACAAAGGAGTTATAGCTGTTGGAAAGAACTGCAAATCACTAACCGAGCTCAGTCTCCGGTTTTGTGATAAGTAAACTCCTGCTACTCTTTCGAATCTTGTTTCTTGACAAAAGCTAATCGTTTGATTTATCCAGAGTTGGAGATGTGGCTTTAATCGCCATTGGAGAAGGCTGCTCCTTACAACAACTAAACGTTAGTGGTTGTCATCAAATTGGAGATGCTGGAATCTCAGCAATCGCTAGAGGCTCTCCTCAACTCACTCACCTCGACATTAGTGTACTTCAGGTAAAACCAAACCTCTCTAGACAAAAAAAAGAAAAGCGTATGTGTTTGTTGTTATTGAGAGATCTCATGCTTGGGTTTGATCTCAAATTCAGAATATTGGGGACATGGCGTTGGCTGAGCTCGGAGAAGGATGTCCAATGCTCAAAGACTTGGTCCTGTCCCATTGCCACCAAATAACAGACAATGGTCTGAACCATCTTGTTAACAACTGCAAACAACTGGAGACTTGTCACATGGTTTACTGTACAGGGATCACTTCGGCTGGAGTGGCTACAGTCGTCTCGAGCTGTCCACACATCAAAAAGGTGTTGATAGAGAAGTGGAAAGTGAGCGAGAGGACGATAAGGAGAGCTGGATCAGTTATCTCTTATCTCTGTATGGATCTCTAGATCGTAGTTTCAAGGTAAGTTTTAGAAGAATTTGTGTGTTGTATTTTCTTAATAAAGTCTTAGTCGTTATTTATGTGAAAAATGTTTGTAATCTCTGTTATTTTATGTTGAGACATAAGTTTGGTTTGGGATCGGAAGAATGTATGTACTAAACGTCATTAAAACAAACGAATAAAAACTTGGTTCCTTTTATTTGGGTGATGTATTTTTCCTTCTTAGACTTGTAGACAAACTAATAACTCAGGTAAGCACGAGTTGTATTTTTGCTACATTGGGACAATCACGCAAGTAAGAAAATAAAAGGATAAACCTAAAAGGATACAATTATGCATATAAAAGTTTGAAAATAGCAACAAACATGTGCCAAACCTTCAACTAATTAATTATCCAATGGAAAGCGAATTCAAAACAATAGAAAACTTTATTATAAAAATAAATAACAAAATACAAAAACAAAAGAAACTTGATTGTGCCCAACATATATTGTCTAGTGTCGGTTCTCCTTCACCCCTACCTTCTCCATAAACTCCCGGAAATTCTTATCCGACGATCCTCCGGGAGCCACAGCCGCTTCCGACTCCGCCTTCCATTTCAAAGCATTCTTCCTAATCTCCTCTGCTTTCTCCCCAACCGTCGCTTCCAAAAGCCTCTCCGCCACTTCCTCCCTCGGCACTACCCTCCCCTCCGCCGCTCCACGGCCAAGCCTCACTGCCATCTTGAAAACATCAACCATATAAGCCGCGTTGGTCACTTGATCTCCCCATTGCGGAAAACAAACCACCGGAACTCCCGAAGACAAAGCCTCCGTCGTCGAGTTCCACCCACAATGAGTCACGAAACACGCCAACGAAGGATGAGCCAAGACTTGATCTTGCGGACACCAATCCACAATCTTCCCTTTGCCTTTACCACACGCTTCCAACAGTTCTTGTGGCACGACATGAGTCTCGAGCTTTAGCTCTTCAAGAGCAGGTCTAATCACCCACAAGAACGATAAACCGGATTTCAAGACCCCGTGAGCGATCTCTTCCATCTGTTCTTGCTTCAAATAAGCAACCGTCCCGAAAGAAATGTAGACGACGGAAGATTTCGGCATTGAGTCCAACCACTCGACGCATTGATCCGACGATTTGCAGAAGTCGCCGCTTACATCAGAGACCACCGTCTTGGCGATCTTGAAAAGCGGTCCAATGGTTTTGATCGGACAGAGATTCGACATGTAATCGATCAGTTCTTGTTCCAAGGCGTCGAAGGAACTGACAAGAACACAGAAGGGCTTACTCATGTTCTTGAATGTTGTGAGAGCCGCTGTTCTCAATGCGGTGAAGTGAGAAGAAGAAGGATGGAGAAAGGTAGGAATCTCGTCGTACTTCAAGACAGGAGCACAAGGGAGCTTAACGTCGAGCTTGGGCTCTGCTTTTGTCGGGAAAGAAACAGAGCCGTTTAGGTAATGGTAATAAGCAGAGAAAACAGCGCAAGACTGGATCCAGAGAACAGCGTAGAGGATGTTGAACTCTTCCGCCACGTGTCCGACCCATGGGATAAACGGGTTGTTGATCAGACACGAGACGGGATCGTTCTTTTCATTGTATCTCCTCACGAGCTTCGACACTTCTACTTTTCCTGCTAGTTCGAGCTGTGCCAGGTACAAATCGAAATTACCCCTCCTTGCATCATCTTCTTCCCATCCGTCGTCGAAAAACTCAAACCGGATGAAACCGGAACCAACCGGTTTAAGCTCACCGTCGACGATCTTGTTGGCTTCTCTCATTTTCTTGCCCCAAAACTCGGTAGTGACGAAGGTAACGACTGTTCCCTTTGATGCAATTAGCTTGCCGAGACGAAGCATAGGACTGATGCTGCCTTGTCCTTGAAATGACACGAGCATTACATGAACTCGATTTAGAGGTGAAGAAGATTCCAACTCCATCTTGCCTAACTATGTATAATAACAATTATGTGATAAAACTCTTTTGCTGTTTTTTGCAAAATTTCACATCCAAAATATATTCTTGATTTATAGAAGCGTCAACGCATTTACTCAAACCTACTCGCTCACTCTCTATACCACACATCTTACTTACTTTTTTTGTTATTTTGTTTTCGGCACCGCACATCTTACTTACCACTCTCGTCTCTCATAAACTGATGTATATGTGATTTTTGTTTCTCGGTACCACGCGTGTTTTTGTCAGTACCACACATCTTTGTTTTTTTTTAATAAAGGGTTTCACATTTTTGTTGTTGTTGAGTTACGACATTGATATGTGGTATGAAGTGTATTTGTAGTATGAAGTATACTTATTGTGTTGTAACCGATCACAAAAATAATACAAAAATGATGATAGTTAAAAAAATGGAGCTTTACAAAATATGAGTGGTAAATCTTGTTTCTATTAAGGGTAAGTACAAGTGTAAAGCATATAAAAGGAAGGTTGTGCAATGGGCAAGCGTTGATACATTGAGCCATAGATAATATAATTTTTGAGATATATCACTAGATGGCATAAAATTGGTAGTCAATCGAGGAAATGGCAAGAGGTATTTAAGAGTGTCAATATGTAAATATTTAACTATTCATCTAGTCCATTCTACTCCTACCTCTTGTTCAAATATTTTAATTCTTCTCAATTAAAAAACTACACTTTATTTAATTTAGTATTAACTGAATACAATAATTATTTATTTTGTCTCTGTCTTTAGTAATTGACTAATTGTTTATTAATATTAGAGTATATTACATATTGCTTTTTTGAGTAATTCTCTCTCTTTTATCATCCATTGACAGCAGTTCTTCAGATTTGAAATTTTAAGTTTGGAAATTTTGACTTGTTTTTAAGCAATGTTTTCACGCCCGGACCAGACCAGCCGGTTCGCTCAGTTGACCCGCGACCCGATCACTACTATTGAAATTTTCTACCTGTAAAACCGTAAATATCCAGAAAAAATTCGGCGATTAAACTGGGAACAACCGACCCGAGTCACCCAGGTGAACCACCAATTTCACTTTTAAATCCTTTGGTAAACATAATATCTCATTAAATATAGAGTTTAATACAATCTTTCATTAAATATATAGTTTAATACATTGTTCTAACTTTCTAAGAATACATTGTTCGTCTTGGCCGCTTGAGAAGAAGGTTTCACTTTCATGTCCTCGAGTCAACAAAACAATATGTCGTCTCTAACCTCTCTTTGTCTTCGAGTAAAAAACACAGCATGTCTTGAGTCTTGACTTTCTTTAACCTCTTTGCTAGAAGGGAAATGAGCACATTTTCTAAAGGACCTTCCTCCGTAATAACCTAAGCCCATCAAGACCAGGAAGACCGCGCCGACCTAGCTTGGATTTAAGGAAATCTCTTGAGGATAACCTTTGAAGACCGGAAACATCAGATTAATTCAAAGGATATATGAGAATTTCCTTATATTTTAGAGAATAAAGGATATTTCCATATCTATGATATGTAAATATACACAAAGACAAAAAGGAAAAGGAGTTCGGAGCAACCGACCTCCCATCCCTATAAATAAAGAGGACCATGAAGCCAAGAGGATCATCCAATACATTCTAGAGAGCAATAGAGCTAAAACCAGAGACTCCAACGCTTTCTAGTTTACTTTGCAAACACCTTTTTTACTTCGGCATAACCTCACGGTTATCCCTTTCTTTGTAATCGCTTCACTTATTACTATTAATAAAAAGACCTTATTCTCCGAAACCCACAACTGTTAATCAAATCCTAGAAGTGATTTTCTGGTTCAACAGTTGGCGCCGTCTGTGGGGACTAGGAGAATAGCTTCTTAAAAACCAAGTAAGAAAGCCGAAGCGATGAGCCTCCTCGTCGACAACAGCGATATCATCCGCAACAATGATGACACCACTCACACCGAGACGTCTACTCTCGGTGAACGTACGAACGTCACTACCACGAATCCACCCGTATGAGCACCCCCAGCTCCCCTCCAAGCCGCAGACCTCGCTGCAGCTATCCAGGCCGCCACGATATCACCCACAGGAAAACGCAAACAAGCAATCACCAATAATACCCACATGATTTTAGGAGGAATATTCCACAATCCCAGCTCGCTACGAGAAATAAGAGAACACGAAGAGAAAGCAGCGGCAGCAAAGCGAGACCCACCCATCCCAAGATACGAGACGCCAATATAATTCACAACGGAGGATCGACATAGCTCGCACGAACCGCACTTCGACCCGCTAGTCATAACTTTACAGATCCATGACAGCACGATCGCCAAAGTCCTGATCGACGGTGGGAGCACGACCAACATCATATTCAAAGACACACTATCAAAGATGCATATTGATAAAAACAAGATAATATCAATCAGAAAACCATTGACCGGTTTCGCAGGCGACATTTCTTACAGCATCGGTTCGATATACCTAATCACTTACGTCGGCGATATGACTAGAAAGGTAGAATTCACAGTCATCAACTGCCTGACCATCTACAACGCCATCCTTGGAACACTGTGGATTCACGCCATGAAAGCCATCGTCTCGACGTACCATCAATGCATCAAGTTTCTAACCCCAACCGGTGCATTCACACTTCAGGGCGACCAGTCATCAGCACGAATGTGCCTTCTCAACGAAAGAAAAATCAGATCGGCAATCACCTGCATGGTGAATGAAGACCTAGACCCGCGTCTCCCCTTCCATAAAAGGCCAAAGCCCGAGCGAGTTATACAGGTAAGCATCGACGAGCAACACTCAGAGAGACTTGCGAGCATTGGAGGTGACCTTACAGAAGATATAAAGACAGAACTCGTCAAACTTTTACGCGACCATGTGCATCTGTTCGCCTGGTCCATAAAGGATATGAAGGGAATCGACACCAGGATCACTTCACACAAACTAAACGTAGACCCGATGTTTAAACCTATCAAACAAAAACGCAGAAAACTTGGCCCCGAGAAGACACAAGCTGTGACTGATGAAGTGGAAAAATTGCTCAGCGCCGGATCAATTACCA